GTGTTCCATCATTGGTGTCAGTGGGAGGAATAGTGTCCCATCATTGGTGTCAGTGGGAGGAATAGTGTCCCATCATTGGTGTCAGTGGGGGGAATAGTGCCCCATCATTGGTATCAGTGGGGGGAATAGTGCCCCATCATTGGTATCAGTGGGGGGAATAGTGCCCCATCATTGGTATCAGTGGGAGGAATAGTGCCCCATCATTGGTATCAGTGGGAGGAATAGTGCCACCCATCATTGGTATGAGTGGGAGGAATAGTACCCCATCATTGGTATCAGTGGGAGGAATAGTGCCCCATCATTGGTGTCAGTGGGAGGAATAGTGCCCATCATTAGTATACAGTGGGAGGAATAGTGCCCCATCATTGGTGTCAGTGGAAGGAATAGTGCCCCATCATTGGTATGAGTGGGAGGAATAGTGCCACATCATTGGTATCAGTGGGAGGAATAGTGCCCCATCATTGGTATGAGTGGGAGGAATAGTGCCCCATCATTGGTATGAGTGGGAGGAATAGTGCCCCATCATTGGTGTCAGTGGGAGGAATAGTGCCCCATCATTGGTGTCAGTGGGAGGAATAGTGCCCCATCATTGGTGTCAGTGGGAGGAATAGTGCCCCATCATTAGTATCAGTGGGAGGAATAGTGCCCCATCATTGGTGTCAGTGGAAGGAAATAGTGCCCCATCATTGGTATGAGTGGGAGGAATAGTGCCCCATCATTGGTGTCAGTGGAAAGAATAGTGCCCCATCATTGGTATGAGTGGGAGGAATAGTGCCCCATCATTGGTATGAGTGGGAGGAATAGTGCCCCATCATTGGTATGAGTGGGAGGAATAGTGCCCCATCGTTGGTGTCAGTGGGAGGAATAGTGCCCAATCATTGGCGTCAGTGGGAGGAATAGTGCCTCATCATTGGCGTCAGTGGGAGGAATAGTGCCCCATCATTGGTGTCAGTGGGAGGAATAGTGTCCCATCATTGGTGTCAGTGGGAGGAATAGTGTTCCATCATTGGTGTCAGTGGGAGGAATAGTGTCCCATCATTGGTGTCAGTGGGGGGAATAGTGCCCCCATCATTGGTATCAGTGGGGGGAATAGTGCCCCATCATTGGTATCAGTGGGGGGAATAGTGCCCCATCATTGGTATCAGTGGGAGGAATAGTGCCCCATCATTGGTATCAGTGGGAGGAATAGTGCCCCATCATTGGTATGAGTGGGAGGAATAGTACCCCATCATTGGTATCAGTGGGAGGAACAGTGCCCCCTCATTGGTGTCAGTGGGAGGAATAGTGCTCCATCATTAGTATCAGTGGGAGGAATAGTGCCCCATCATTGGTGTCAGTGGAAGGAATAGTGCCCCATCATTGGTATGAGTGGGAGGAATAGTGCCACATCATTGGTATCAGTGGGAGGAATAGTGCCCCATCATTGGTATGAGTGGGAGGAATAGTGCCCCATCATTGGTATGAGTGGGAGGAATAGTGCCCCATCATTGGTGTCAGTGGGAGGAATAGTGCCCCATCATTGGTGTCAGTGGGAGGAATAGTGCCCCATCATTGGTGTCAGTGGGAGGAATAGTGCCCCATCATTAGTATCAGTGGGAGGAATAGTGCCCCATCATTGGTGTCAGTGGAAGGAATAGTGCCCCATCATTGGTATGAGTGGGAGGAATAGTGCCCCATCATTGGTGTCAGTGGAAGGAATAGTGCCCCATCATTGGTATGAGTGGGAGGAATAGTGCCCCATCATTGCTATGAGTGGGAGGAATAGTGCCCCATCATTGATATCAGTGGGAGGAATAGTGCCCCATCGTTGGTATCAGTGGGAGGAATAGTGCCCTATCGTTGGTGTCAGTGGGGGGAATAGTGCCCCATCGTTGGTGTCAGTGGGGGGAGAATAGTGCCCCATCATTGGTGTCAGTGGGGGGAGGAATAGTGCCCCATCGTTGGTGTCAGTGGGGGGAGGAATAGTGCCCCATCGTTGGTGTCAGTGGGGGGAGGAATAGTGCCCCATCGTTGGTGTCAGTGGGGGGAGGAATAGTGCCCCATCGTTGGTGTCAGTGGGGGGAGGAATAGTGCCCCATTGTTGGTGTCAGTGGGGGGAGGAATAGTGCCCCATCGTTGGTGTCAGTGGGGGGAGGAATAGTGCCCCATCGTTGGTATTAGTGACACAAATGATGGGGCACTATCCCTTCCACTGACACCAATGATACTTACCTTGCTGACTCCTGCTCCAGCCTGGGCTCGCTCTCTCCTTCTCCCATCTACAACCTGCATACCTGTCTGCAGCAGCAAAATTTGCACTTACCTGTCAGCTGTCTTCCTTCTCTGGCCTCTCTCTTCACTCATTCCTGCAGCTCCCTCGATCTTCTTCGATCTCCGCACGCTGCCCGCTCGGCTCCTCCTCTCCAAGCTCCACCTTCTCGCCGGTGATTGGCCGCCTGTGTGCCTCTCCTGAGCTACAGTTCCGGTGGCCAATCAGCGGCGAGGAGGCGGTGACAGGGGCAGCATATCATCCCGCCCACACATCGCCGGAGACAGCAGCGGTGTCTCGGTTCCTAAGACCATCGGAAATATGTGTTTTTCCGATGGTCTTAGGCGACCCCTGGGAAATGGTCGTTCGACCCCCAAAGGGGTCGCGACCCCCAGGTTGAGAACCGCTGCTCTAAATGATCTATATAGGAGAATCAGGACCTCCTTCCTCCTGCTGGTGATCCTTCTAGTGCTACACCTCAGAATTATATTCACTCCCACTGTGAGGTCACACCGTTTGCTCATTTTTATTCTGAATCAAGCACCCCCAATTTTTACCACATAGTTCTGGCCAAGACTGTACCCACAATATTGTACTATATCAGAGGATTCTTTTTCCCTAAATTATCAAAGTTTATCTTGCATTTAGAAACATTGAACTGCAGTTTCCAGTGCTTTGACCAATCTCCTAGCAATGGTAAATTATGTTCACCACTAACACTATCAAGGTATCAACCTTTTTGAAAACCTTTGTGTCATTGGCAAAAAGACATACCTTACCCACAAAATTTTATGTAATTAAATTTACAAATACAGTAAATAGAACTGGATCTAGTACAGAGACTTTTGATACACCACTAGTGTTTATTTAGCTTTCCCTTGAGTTTAGCTTTAAATGTCAAAGATTTACAGGCACATTCATTTTATTTGGGAGTGTCTCATTGTGCATCCATTCACATCAGTAGTCATTCAGTTTATATCTGCTTTCCCAAACATTTGTGATCTATAATTTGCATTTTGGGGGGTAATTGGTGACCTTATTCCTGTTTGTAATTTTTTTTAGTTTTTTTAAGTGATAAACCAATCAATAATTACAAATCTTCATGAGACTTAATAGACAATCAAGCCTGAAATCTAGCTACAATACCAGTTTAAAAACAATTTTCCAATATGAGTGCTAAATGATCCAAAACTACTGAAAAAGTCCATGTATGAATCAAATGAGTTTGCTCAGCTCAGGAACCTTTAACGAGGCTTGTTATTTTGTAATTGTTTTTTAACCAGTCATATCCAATCTTTTATTGCAAATCTGAATATGAGCGTGGACACGTGATAAAAATGTAGTTCATACTGTCACATTGATCACTCAGAGATTAATTAGTGATTCCAAAAGCATGGAATTTGTGTACCAAGCCACACATATATATCAGATATAAGATTACAGATTGATTATAGCGTGATCCATTATGTGATAATTCTCAGAAAACATGATGTGCCACATAACCATATTGTCTGTTTTCATGGGTTTTAGAGCATACTTATTATAGAGAAGAACTGAATATAATGAATACTAACGTAATGAAACACAACATACAAGGAGTAATAAAAAGCTAAGTATAGTGCATTTGTCTTAATGAGAGCATCCTCTCTACATGGTGTAATGTGCATTTATCATGCTCCACTGAAGTCACCTTTCATAGAAAAGAAGAGCAAGAGACAAATGAGAACATCTACATCTCATGCAAGGCAATGCAATGGCACCTTGAGAAAGGCACACCCCGATCTCTCTTTCCTTGACAGTGAACTCTGCCAAGCACTATTTGCATCAAAACAGAGCACATAACATAAACCCAATACAGCTTAAGAAAAACAACAATTATTTATTCTCAGCACACTACAGCAGTCAAAACCAAGGACAAGTTTTGTTCCCATGGTGCAATATGACCTCTGTATACATAGGCTGCCATTACAGAGCTCTTTTAAAATGCTGGGTGCCTGGCGTTCATGCTGATCCAGTGACTTTAATATAAATTAATGACCCAGGACAATGTGACTCATTTACTAAAGCAGTAGAGAATTTTCACTTTTTCTAGTAAATTTGAAAACTGCTTAATCCTGTGCAAGGAAAATGAAAAAAAAAAAGAATTTTCATGCACATGATTGTATGATGAAAGTCAGCACAACTTCACCTCATTCACCAATCCTTTAGTAAATCAGAAACACTATTAGAATACCAGAATGCTTGTGCTAGGTCAGTGATTGTCTAATAATTATCAGAAGAAGAGTTAGAAATAGCAGCTTACAGTATTTTTTTTGGTACAGGTTGAACTAAGGGCCTTTATGGCAGGATCACCAAGAACTTCCAGTTATGGAGTCACAGCACTCTGTTCCTATCTATGTGCTCTCTTGCATTGATACCTTGTCATATGTCTCTACAGTGAAGACTAAAGCTGACCCCATGTGATGGCACTGGCCAATCAGAATCCATCTGGTCTGTCCTGAAAGCACAGGGAGAGGAAACAAAGAGCAGTGGGTGTTTCAAATCCCCAGACTGGTGGAATGGCTGTGGGAGTTCTGTCAACTGGCGATTGCCAGTGGAAACTCAGGGGTAAGAAAGGGGTCCGGTGTTAGTTGAACTTAGTGTGCACTTGAAATCTATAGTCTTGCATAGGGGAAAACAGAGGTGGCTTCTTTTGCATAATTGGACTATATTTTTCTCTGGTTCACATTGCCTAGCTATGATGTGCTTAAGAATAATATTTCCAATGTTTCAGATCCTTAACTGCATCTTAGCTTTTCTAGCACAGCAAGGATGGTTGGTAACAGCATTGATAGTTATATATTTATAGACTGCAACGGGACATCACTTATCCATATTTGCAAGCACTTAGACCAGCCTTTCTCAACCAGGGTGCCCAGGCACCCTGGGGTGCCTTGAGGGTTCTTCAGGGGTGCCTTGGTAAAATGGCTAAAAATTGCCCAAAATGTATATACAAGCCAGCGGGTGGAACAAGCCTGCCTTTTAGTAACACAAAGCCACAGGTTTTCATTGTGCACCATTACAACCTTTTAGCCGCTGGCATCCTGACAACCAATGACATCATCAGTTGATAAGGAGGATGTTGGCTGCCTGCACAGCATCCTAGTTTAACCCTCCCCTCCCCCTCTCCATCAGTGCTGGGGTCACATTATCTCAGTGATGGAGAAAAACTGAGGGAGGAGAGAAACATTAGTTTACTACTCTGTACTGGAGTGCAAAAGTGTATTTGCTTTGGAAGAATAAATCCCCTCTAATGCTGGGTGTCCTACGTGTGTGGATGTTGATGTGTTATATAAAACTATTTAGTTTTTCACATTTTAGAATGTTGGTGCTCTTTTAAAATTATGGACAGTCTTGAGGCACCCCATTTTAGAATGGGGTGCCTCAAGACTGTTCATAATTTTAAAGGGTGCTTTGGGACTGTCCACAATTTTAAAGGGTGCCTTGACTGAAAAAAGGTTGAGAAACACTGATTTAGGCCACTGTTGTGGTGACACCAGCTCATATGGCATTAAATGCCCAACTATCTGTCCTAACAGAAGGAGGACAAAATATACATATATATCTGCATCTGCCCCAAAAGCAGCGCAAGAAGTGGGGAAGAGAAGTTTTCTTAAATTGTCTACAGACATAAGAGAATGCTGTCTTAACCATCTACAGTTAGATTGGGAAATGTTTCTGTTTGTATCCTCCATAGCGCAGGTCCCTTGCCAAGTCTGCTTGGGGAATGTCAGTGCCAGCAGATCCCAGCTGATTCTACTACAATTCTGTACAAATGATTTCTTTGATGGAATTCTAAAAATCAATCATTGCTTTCTTGAAAACTTCCTTCAATTCAAAAGCAATTCCTAGCAGCAGATGAACCTATTTAGCAAACAGTAAATTTAGGTTTACATTAAGTGCCCAATCACACAATTTTCAGATACACAAGAGAAATGTGCTGCTCTTTAGCAGACATGCAGGGATGTCATTCATTCTTAATGGCACCCTCTGCAAAATGCCCACGATTTCATATGCCTGAAACTACATGGTGCCGTAGTTCCATGCAGCGCGATTTAATATAAAAGGGCCTAGGACTTTTTTTTCCACGTTTCTGATGGTAGAGCAGCCTTTTCAAATACATGCAGAACGCAAGGTTGCAAAGGTCTGAACAGCCTAAAGGGGTGCTGAAATTACAAAGTTCACTAATTTTCACCTTAATCTGACTTCAGTATAATTCCCTGTAGCTGGAATCCACAAAGCACCACACAGGGCCACAGGGTCACAGGGACAGTACACTCATAAATATTAGACTGTGTAACTTTTTCGGTATGATCTGGTATCTCCAATAAAATTCAGGGCTTGTTCACATCAAGTCCATAGACCTGTTTTCCTGCATTCCACCACATATGGTATGGTGTGGTTGTGACAGAACAGATGCGGCTCTCCAATTTAAATAGGATTGCAGCTAACAAGGTAATTAATAGTAAGCAATGCCCAACATCCTGAAATACAACATTATATGTGTCTGTGTCCCCTTTTGTTATATCATGTGGACTGTACAAGCAGCTCCAAACACTAAACCAATGCATAGGACCTTCGCAATCAATATCACGACAGGAGTGGACATTTATAATGGTCTTGGGCTATACAGATTTTATACTGCCCTACACTGACTGTGCTAGTAAAAGTCCGCATTTGTACCCTGGGCAGTTTCTCAGATAAGGCAGAAACATGCCATATGGGTTTTGTGAGAATAATAATAGAGTTTATGTACCTTGGCTAAGTTTCCAGCACATCAGTCATTATAAGATGTGACTCCCATGTTTAATATAACTTAGACTCTTTTTATTCTCCCTTTTATCAAACCAATTTTAACAATTGACATAATCTAGGACAATAGAACAGCACGCTATGCAAATGAAGAGAAATGAGACGAAAGGTTGACTAATATAATCACAGCCCCTCAAGCTACAGAAGTACAGAGAAATTCATCTTCGTGTCTTTCCTCATGCTAAAGAGATCCCATGTACCCATTGAGCACTTAAAGAGTCCACTAGAGTTAATAAATACTAATACATTTTTACCTCTGCCAAACACATGATAATAAATGAGATACATTCCTTGCACGTCAAACCTCGTCTTCATTACACTGACAGCCTCATGGACGGTTTTCTTTTCCTTCTAGTTTATTTCTAGTATTTTTTTTATAATCACTAAAATTTCAAATCTAAAAGTAATAAACATGGACATTGCACAATATCCATCATTTATATCATGTACTTAAACTTCTAAAAGTTTCTGCTGGTAATGAGATGTCTTTCATTTACACTTTTCCCACTATACCAGCATGAATCTCATAAAAAATAACATGTGATGGGTCCATATTGGATAACAAGATGAGACACTTTAAAGCATCAGTCGTTTACGAGGTTTAAACAAGTGTTTATCTATATGGTGATATCATGAGCTGACTGAGTTAGGTATATTCTATGTAAACCATATTAGTACTTTAATTGAATAAGGATGCAATCATATTAGAGCAAAGATGACGGGAAGAACACTTTCAAGTTTTTACGTGTGTATTACACAGGGTCATCTCCATTTGGTCACAGCCATTATAGCATACTTAGAAAAGATTAATGAGAGTGTGGGTAATCTCTGTCAGTAGAGTATTATAAATGAAACACTAGCAAGGGCGGCTAATACAGTACAGAAAAGAAGAATAGTATGTGCCATGCCAGCATGATTCGCTGACAAGTCAAACAGATAAGCATTCAGTGTATGGCTATATTGTATATTAAAAATAGGCTGTCCGGCACTAAAAAAGCCCTCCTTCAAGTCTACACGCGCCCTTATCGTCTGCCCGCCGCTACCGCACCATGAGCAACCTCCTTTGGAGCTGCACCCCCTAACCACACAACTCCAAGTAAGCTGGCCCCATGGTAATAGAGAATACATGAGCCAAAGTATCATTTGTGTTGTTGCTATAGAATAGATGTTTTTAATCGATCAACAAGAAAATCAATAAAATTAGATCCCTAGCAGATCAGGAACAACAAGCATACCCCCCCACACACAACACATAACCACCCACCCCCACAAGAAATTACCCCCACAAGCGACAATCGATTTCCCAACAGCCAGCATCAATTAGCCCCTACACCTGACATCTAGACAAACAATAGAGACTCACTCCCTCAACAGGAAAACCATCTCAGCATCAATGTACCTCTCACAGTAACAGGCTGCAGACACACACCATCATCGCACACATAATCTCCCCAGAAGTCAGCAACTTTAGAGCCCCTCCAGCAGCAGCCAGAAACTATAGATCGAATCTCACATGCTAAGTGAATCTTTTTATCCTGGCAACAATGGACACCCCCAGCAGACATCAGACCTCTACCAGCAACAACAAGATCTCACCCAACAACCCCACATCATTAGACCCTCCAGCAGCAAGCAACAATAGACCCGAACCCACACAGCAGAAACCTACCATGGCACGCAACTTTACCCTCCCCCCAGCAACATAAAAAACCACCCCACAGAAAAAAAAGACCCAACAGCAGCCCTAGTAATACAATTGACCACCATCACTTCATGCCATTACCTACATTTCAGATCGACTATGGAGGTGCAGGAACTGTGATTCCTCTCCTAGTATCCCTCTGAAAAAAGATATATATAAATCTATATATATAACTATAGAAAAATAATAGATATAATATATATAAATAATATATATAGATATGATATAATAAAAAAAATAAATAGTATATAGTATTTAAATATATGTTTTGAATTTTTTTTGGGAACAAAAATTTTTAAAATAAAATGCGAAAATTACAGAAGACTGAGTGGTAATATGGTGAACTCCAAGAAAATAAACTAGGGTTGCATTGATACCGATACTGGTATTGGTGCCGCTATATGAGCATTTAGGCCTTGGTATCTGGTACTCATGCAAATGCAATCAATACCTACAACTAATTAGGATGATTGTCCAAGGGAAGAAAAGGGGGGGTGAGTGATTTCGGCTTATTTTCTCTATCATCGGGCAAGCTTCCACTCTTCCACTGCTTGAATTATTAAGCCATTAAAGCGGTTTATGGTGTCCCCACCTGCACAGAGTCTTATATCTGTGTTATTCCCACTCCTTGGTGTACTGCGAAACATATGAAAGATAGAGGAGCACACTAAGTGTTTCTTAGTCTGCTAACATCCTCTCCAGCCTGGCATGTGCATCCTGTATCTGTATGTGTGCATCCCCCCCCCCCCCCTGCTTACTAAGGTGTGCTGTGGACATCTGCAATCTGGGTATTGGTGAGATAGTCATCATACTGCTATCTGGGTTTTAATTATGTGTTTATGGCATCTTCTATCTGGGTGTTTGTGTTTATGGGTGCATCTGCTATCTGGGTGTACAGTGTAATATGGCATTGGCTATCTGGGTGTACAGTGTATATGGGGCATCTGCTATCTGGGTGTATGGGCATCTGTATGTGTGTATGGGCATCTGCTATCTGGGTGTACAGTGGCGGATATGGGCATTGGCCTATATCTGTGTACAGTGTATATGGGCATCTGCTATTGCGGTGGGTGTATGGTGTATATTGGGCATATGCTATTCGAGAGGGTGTACAGTATGTATTATGGGTTGCAACCGAATTCTTGTTGTCAGGCTGAAATGTAATACACAAAAGAAAGCTGGCTATTCTAAAAAAATAGGTATTGGTAATTTTTATTGGTGATAGGGTACTAAAAAAGCATTGGTGTGTCTCGTACTCAGTCTTAAAGAAACTTGGTATCTGTGCATCCCAAGATTAAAACCCAGTTCTTTTTACTTGTTATTGCTTTACAATTGCTGCATATAGGAGTGGTTCAATCTTTTGAACAAAGTACATCCAAACAAGTCCAAAGAGCATTTCATTAGCTGGAGATAGCAGTTATTTTTGAAAGGGAAACCTGAATGATTTAGAAAAAGTAGTAGCAGAGTGTCTTGAATGGAGCGCCTGGAAAAAAGTGTCTTGTTTGGGATTTAAACATCTCACAGGCTCCTTTCTTGCACTTTTCATGCTTATGATCT